CGACGGAGCAGAGCAGCAGGCGCTGGGAGGACCAGGCTCGGGCCAGTCACAAGCCTGCCTTCCATTCACTGTGCAAGTCATTCTCTTCCATTCAGCTCCGCTCTCTTCCATCTGTTTTGGTCACCGTGGTGATGGGAGACAGGATGGGAGCCCCACCCGGGCTGGAAGGACCACGGATCACTCAGGCAGCAGCTGGCTGGGGCGCAGAGGAGGCTAAGATCAAGGGAAGCCACATCAGACGGTGCCCTTCTCACAGAGTGGAGATCAGCATCCAGTTTCTATGCCAACCTAAACATGTAAAGTTGAATGCCAGGTATGATGACCGAGGCCCCAAATGTCAGAAGCGCTGAGTTCTGCCCCAGGATGCCCATGGCACTGCATCACGGGGACCCGAGCAGCAGTGGGCAGGGGCGGGTGGTGACACCATCAGCTGGGGACGAGACCGCCCAGGCGAGCGTGGCCAGAGATGACTCGCGTGCGGGAGCTCCTGTGAGCTGAGCTCTGGCGCCTGTGTTTGCATTTCTGGGTCTTTTCACTGCCAGGAAAAGGCTCCAGGAGGCAATCATTTAGAGAGAAGGGCCGTGCTCGCACAGCGTGCAGACCCCGCCAGCCCCTGACCCGGCCGCGGGCTTTCCTTCGTCTTCCTCACCCCCAGGAAGGCGGGCTCCCAACAGGGCTGAGCCGTCACGCAAAGTGACCACCAGGTTTCAAAGCAGGACTCGGCGACTGGAGATTCATGGTCTCCTACAGAGGAGACCGGCCTGTAACCACACCACCCCACGCCTCTGGATCCACGCCAGGGAGACCAGCAGGCGGCCAAGCTGCATCGCAAGAGGGAGTCTCTTGGTGACCCGCACCTTTCAGTTCTGGAAGCTTCTTTACAAAAAAATTGAAATAATTTTATTAGCATATCATTATTGGTTAAAATGGAAAATATCTCCTGTGAAATCAACAGCTAACCAAGAACTGAATTCTTCTTAAGGAATCCAATTTTCTTTTCTTTTTTTTTTTGAAAGATTTATTTATTTGAAAGTCAGTTACACAGAGAGCAGAGGCAGAGAGAGAGAGAGATTTCTTCCATCCAATGGTTCACTCCCCAATTGGCCACAACGGCCAGAGCTGGGCTGATCCGAGACCAGGAGCCAGGAGCTTCCTCCAGGTCTCCCACACGGGTGCAGGGCCCAAGCACTTGGCACATCTTCTACTGCTTTCCCAGGCCACAACAGAGAGCTGGATCGGAAGTGGAGCAGCCGGGACTCTAACTGGTGCCCATATGGGATGCCGGCGCTTCAGGCCAGTGTGTTAACCTGCTGCGCCACAGCGTCGGCCCCAGGAATCAAATGTTCTGTCCATTTGATGGACACCGTGCTCCCATAAGGCACCTGGGGAGACAGAGAGAATCTGGCGTCTCCCTGAGGAGTGGAACAGCTCCCGCAGCTGGTGTGGAGAGGATTTTAGATGGTGCCTCCACAGACTTTTTAACTTCAATCACTACTTAATTTAAGCGGATATCAGAAAATGCATATACCATCAGAACATCAAACTTGTGGATTTTACCCATTTTTATTGCTTCTTATGATGTTTAAGTACATATTTGAGTTTAAAATGTGATTTAACATAGAGGTGTGAAGAAAATAACAAGGCTTTTTAAAGCATTTCAAGATGTAGCCTTTTAAATAATATTTGTCATACATTTCAATGAAATATTTAAACAGTCATGAACCAAGTTTGAAGGCAATCTGTACTGGAACACTGAGGCAGGACAGCGTCCCCTCTCCAAGCAGCTGAAAGTGAGCAGCACCAGCAGCCGGCATCAGCAGCACTCCCTCCCCTCCCCTCGCCACGGATCACCCAGGACACACAGAGGAACCTAAGCAGACAGAGCTCTGTAGCCGGAAGCTGGGGCACTCACCTGCCTGTCTGCCCTGGGGGCCCTGCTCTGTAAGGAGAGACACGCATAGTGCCCACGCCTACGACTCCTCCAAGGGTACGTGAGCAGCTGTGCGACCGAGCGTTCAGCACCCACTAAATGCGATTTGAAGGGACTCTCCACGAGGGTTACCCAGACCTTGGTGCCCAGCCCCCAGTTCCTCTCCTGTCTGCGTGGACCATCTGTGGATGCTCAGCAGTGCCCCCCTTTGCAAGGAATCCGAGTGTGCTCAGAAGCCTGCGTCGCCTGTCCCGGGCTGTCCATCAGCCACGTGGATTTGCACACCACCTGTGACCTCTTGGATTCCAGGCCCCCACATGGAGAAGGCAGCGTGGCAGTAGAATTAAGAAACCAGACTTTGAAACCAGGAAGACTTGGATTAGAATCCTGGCTTCCTCTTTAAGACTTGGCTGACAGCTGTGTTTCTGAGACTAGCTTCTCTCTCTCTCTCTCTTTAAAGATTTATTTATTTACATAGAAGGAGAGGCAGAGAAAGAGAGAGAGAGGTCTTCCATCTACTGGTTCACTTCCCAGTTGGCCACAACGGCCAGAGCTGCGCCCCTCCAAAGCCAGGAGCCAGGAGCTTCTTCCAGGTCTCCCATGTGGATGCAGGCACCCAAGGATTTGGGCATCTTCCACTGTTTAACCAGGCCAAAGCAGAGAGCTGGATCAGAAGTGGAGCAGCCAGGACTGGAACCGGTGCCCATATGGGATGCCAGCGCCTCAGGTGGAGGATCAACCTACTGTGCCACAGCACCGATCCCCTGAACCCAGCTTCTCACCTTAGAAGTAAGCAGTGGGAACATCCTCTGGGAGACGCCCTTAGCGTCTCTCTCTCTCTCTCTCCTCTTCTGTCTCTGTATCTCTGCCTTCCAAATAAATAAATAAATCTTAGAAAAGGAGTATGCACAATTCAGCAGAGAAGCAAGATTTCGTTGCACACAAAATGGAAGCACCAAAGCTGACCTCGACAAGGTTTGGGGCCATCCCTTTACATGGACTGAGGCATGAGGGGTGGTGCCTGGGGTGGGGGTTAATTGAATATTCATAAGGGGATGGGATTTGGGGGCAGGGCTTGAGTGCTGCCCGTTTCCTTGTCCTTTTTTGGAAACCCGAAGTGTCATGGTATCAGGCAAATGATGGGAGTAGCAGTGGCAGCCATGGTGCCTATGACCTTACGATGAGCTAAAATCACCTTGGGGATGTTGGTTATTTTTGGCTGGCGCCAGTTCCCAGGAACAAGACAGCAGGAGCTGTGCTTTTCCAATGCACAGAAAAGGGGAGTTTCGGGTGGGGTAGGCGAGGCTGTAGGGAGGGGCCGGCTACTTCTCTGCCAATCAAGGTCCATAGCTAAAGTTTTCAGGAAACGTAATTAATATTTTCTCTAGTTACACAATATTCATTTTATGAGCTTATTCCTCCAGGGCGAGGGAAGCTCAGGTTCAGTTCACTCTTTCCTTGAGCTAGGCCTGAGTTTGGCACTACTTCTGTGGTGCCTGGGGCAGTGGAAGGGCCTGGCCCTTGGTCCGGTCTGCTCAGACCCAGCCCGGGTCATCAGACCTAGTGGTCCCCGATCCGCACATGAAGTTACCCTTCGGCCCTGCCCACGTGGCCTGTCCACTGACCAAGGTTTTCACTGTTCCTGGCAGCAAACTTTTTTCAGGTTTTTCTCCAAAGTTCTTCCTAGGAGGCAAAGCACAGCTGAAGAAGTGCTTCCCGTCAGAGAGCACACACAGCCCAAAGCAGGCAGGGACGGAGGGCTGAGCACATGAGCAGAGGCCGTAGCGGGAGAGGAAGGAGGCAGCTTTGAGGACATCTCTCTGAGTGACCGCTGGCCAGCATGTGGCCGGCCTGGCAGAAGCGTCTTCAAACACCTGTGGTTGGCATGCTGCACCCAGAGGAAAGCCTTAACTCGGGAACGCCTGTCCCAGATCAGCAGGCGATAGGACAGCCCAGATGGTGATGTGCAGCTGCTTTTTTTGGCACAGACGAGCATCACCAGGGTTTAGTTATCTGGGTAACAGTTGCTTTTAGAGATTGGATCCAATGCAGTCAGATGTGTACTGGGAAGAAAAGTTTAAGTAACAGAGTTTACACTGGTACCCAGGGGAGGTGTAGAATTACTTAAGAAAAGGCTCAAGGGCTCAAAACAGCCTTGGGGACACTCTGAGATGGAAACTCTTAAGATATGGATAATTTGAAAAATAATAAGGTATTTAGTAATAATAATTTGAAATAAGAAATTCAAATAACAGATTCACATAGAACAACATACAATTCAATTTAAGGCATTTGAAAAAGCATTTGAAAAAACACCTGCCGGGACGCTGACTCGAGTCCAGCCCTGTTGAGCGAGCACAAGCAGCCCGAGAAGCAGGATGACAGCTTAGTTTCCATCACTTCTATCGCTTGCTGTTTCGCACACTCAAAATTATTCTACGATTTTGGGCAGCCTAGATCCGAACTGCTTTCCTGAGCTGTGCGTTCCCGTCGGCTGCCAGGACTCTGTTCTCCCACGATCTTCCTGATGCACACAGTGTTGCCTGCTCGGTGGTGAGTCTGAGAAAGGAGACTCGCCGGGCGGGGCGGCTCAGGGAGGGGAGGAGTTTGGAGCTGCAGGTCAAGTAGCCCTGGGGATTCATCTAAACCCTGTGTGCTTTATCCGCAGGGCCACATCCACAGTGCCGGTTCCTACATCCCTCGCCTTCAACACAGCAACAAAACCAGGGGAGCTGGGAACGGGAAGGCAAGCCATCAGGGCAACCTCCCTGGGTCTCCTGATCGACCTCTGAGTACCCAGCAGAGGGGAGATGAGGTGGGTGTGAAGTCAGGGGAAGAACTGCCCAACCCCGGGAGAAGGCGTGCCGCTTTCTGCTTTCTTGAAAAAAAAATAAGAGAGATGAGATGAAGAATCCCCAGGCGAACACTTTTGAGATCTGATTTCAGGGAGACGAACCGTGGCCAGGAAGGAAGTTGGGTACTGAAGCTGCCTCTCTCTGAGACCATAACAGGACGAGGGAGTATTTAAGAAGCTGTAATGATGAAGGTTTAATACACACTCTCCATAATGTATTTTTTAAAAAGTCTTTATTTATCAACTACCTAAACATATAGCTTTATCACACAGATCAGAAAGGCAATGTACATCCAAATTCATGACATCTAGAAGCACAGAATGTTCTAGAAGCACTGTCCACAGAATGTTCTGCCCAGTTCTGAGCCATTCTGCAAGTCCCAGCAGCAGCGTAGGACCAGCAGAGCGTGGGGTTTAAGCCAGGACACCTGGTCCTACCCACCAGCAGTGCCCTCACCATAGGAAGGGGGCGGGCACAGTAAAGGGGAGACGGAAGTGAACCCCACTGCCTATCAGGTCCTCCTATCTCAAAGATTCGGAAGCAAAGTAAGATTTTCTACCGGAAGAGTACTGGCCTGCTGGTCCTTCTCTTTCCTCTTCCACTCCCTCTTCTCCACTTCAGCTACACTTCGTGCGCATGCTCCTAAGAGCAGTGAAAATAAATACCAGGACGACTGCATTCATGTGGTGGGCTACTCACCATGGAGTGCAAGGGTGGACGAAGCAAACCTGCACTGACAGCGCTCAACCTCAACCACGGGGTGTGTGAAAAGCCACTTGCAAAATGCTACATCTGACAGAACAGCCTCAGTGCAGCCTTGGGGCGGCTGCTGCACGAGTCTCAGGTGTCTGAAACAAGCAAGAGAAAGAGCCCTTACGGAGTCGCGCCGTCTCGGAGGAGCAGGTGCCGTGGGGAGGAACGCGCACCGAGACGGAGGCAGGGACCTCGAGCTGCATCTTGGATTTCTACTGAAAACAAGGCTGCTGCAAGGAACATGGCCTTCCTGGTGCAGGACATCAACAGATGCAGGAAGTGTGAGTGCCAAGGCCACCACAGTTGCTCCAGGGGCATGGCAAGGCAGAGAAGCCTCGTGTGGACCCGAGCCGCAGGACCATCTTTTTCCAAAAAAAAAAAAAAAAAAAGTTTTGCAAGCACAGGTGAGAACCGCATGGTGCGTGTTGCTGTCTCCACCGCAGCATTGCACATTTTTTCTTGCCATGAACCCGGCTCTTTCTAGCTCAAACCCACTGGTCTGGGTGGGTTCTTTACAGGGCGACTGATTGTCTTGTGTTGTCCAGGACTGAAAGGTTCCAAGTGTTCAGGCGTGAACAAGTTGGTCACCTGGATCTCCAGAACATTCCAGAAGACATCCATTACCGCCCACGGTTTTACCGAACATGTGTTATCTCAAGAGCCAGAAACAAGCCAAGAGCCTGTCCTATGCCCGAGTTGTGCCTTTCCCTTCTGAGACCCACAAGCGCCTCCATTCTTTCCACACCATCGCCCCCTGAGGACACACTCAGCTGTGCCTTGTGAGTCCCACTTTATCAATCAAAGCATGAGGAAGCCACTCCCTTCCAGAGGCCTGAGACAACTGTCGGGATGCTCACAGCTCATCATGCTGAAGTTCATTCCCTCCCTAGCCCACAGGCTGCGACCCTCAAAATCTACCAAGTCGACGCACACGGCTATAAAGGCCAGAAAAAGAGCAGTGGCCCCACCAACAAGCACTGTTCCAGGAAATGCAGCTACATTGCAGAAGCAGCATACTATCCTGCAAAAGGAGAGAATTCACACAGCAACTGAAATCAAGCATCTGCTTGGAGAACTCCGAAGACGCCCACTCCCGGGACAGACCCTGCAGGAACTGTGGGGCCTGGGTGGATTCATATGCTCCAGGGAAGAGGGCCCTGTGGAACAGCAGTCCCTATGTTTGCCTTCATCTTGCCGTAGGATAATATACCCCAGAATACTGTGCATCTATAAGATGTATAAATTACTGCAGTTCATGGGACACAAGGCTGCCCAGTCGTAGCTGAGTGGCGACTGTGGTCTCTGAAGCCCCGGTGGGCACGTTGCAGGTGTAATTCCACAACACCCGCACAAGAATGAGGTAAATCTGCACTGGTAAGTAGAAGCATGGCCTAAAACCGTGTGACCCCAGGAGTTTTAAAAACAGTTTATGTCTGTTTATAGAGATGTGAAATGTGTTCACAGATTCCACTGAACTTCTATTGTGGACGATTTGGCTTGGGAAAAAAAAGGGATCCTTTATTTATTTTGTTCTTCTAGACTGGTTAGCTTTTCTGTGATTAGCACGTATGATTTGGCTGTAAAACTCCCTTCTAAAGATTTGAAGAAAAAGAAATGACATTCTGATGCTTCATTGCTTATGAAACTTGATAAAGCCTGTGTCATCCAGGGATACAGCAGGCATTTAATAAGGGATTGTGGAACAAATTAAAAAAAATACAGCTCAAACTAGGAGTGGCACATACTTGAGACTACCAAATCTTTAACCAAGCCTGGGAGTGACGGCAATTATTTCAAAGTATGAGAAAAATACTGGAGCAAAGCACCAGTCTATACAAGATGAGCAACAGAGAAGTGGTCAGGTTTACTTAAGTCCATATAGATCTCTGGGATTCTGTAAAATCGCGTGTTTAGAAAAGTCCACAAGTGGTAAGGCAGGCCCCGTCATACTGCGATTGCCATGAGGAAGCGTGTAACATACAAACTCAGCAGAAACAGTGCTCCGAGTGCAGTTATGCAATCCGAGTCCTGCCTTCGTGCGTCCTGCAGAGTCTGCCAACCTGAGGGCGCTGGCTCCCCCCGTAGTGTTGCCATGGATAACTAACCAATAGCCAAACAAAACAAACAGAAGAGGGGAAATGTAAATGTCATGGGGTTTCAGAAATGTATCTTCAGGACTTGTACTGCTGAAGTTCTGTCACTTTAATCCCTTCTTTCAGAAAATCATTTCAGCAATACTTTCTAAAGAATCAGAGGTGGGGGGAGACAAGGAAACAGAGATATTCCTAAGTGGTCATTATCAAAATGTCCCATCCAAGAGCAACCCTAATGCTTTTTGGCAACAGAGTCTACCAGCTGGCTTCCAGGGAAGGCCACGGAGAGAAAGCAGAGGGGAGGCAGGGCGAGGGCCCACCCTCATGAGAGCCTGGGCAGGTGGGGAGGTGGGCTATCCAAAGCTGTAGGCACAGCCTCGGCCGGCACTCAGCTCAGTTCCCTCGGGAAACCATTCCTGCAAGAACTGCAGCTCCTGCAGACATGGATACATTCTTTAGTAGTCTCCACTTTATAGACTTTCCTTCCCTGAGAAATGGGACAGCACTTTCAGGCTTTCTTCTCCTGAGTCCCTGGTCAACACCCAAATGCAAGTTTTCTCAGTCTTGAAGCCTGAACTAATCTACACCACAGGAAAAGACAGCATGTAAGTACGTGTAAACACACCACGAGGTCAGTTTTCACAGTTCTCGTCAAAGACGCAGCCGTGGTCTACTTGTTGGGCCTGGACGACTAGCGTTCCTTTTGCAGTAAGCTCGTCTGTCAGGCAAGTGGAGCTGACGCTCCCCACGCGTTCTTGCTGCGGTTCTCAATGCTGACTTACAGCCCCGTTTCTGAGTTCCTCAGAAGGAAGAGAGAGCAGTCAATCGGTGTCTTCGCCCAATATTTACAACTGCACAGCACAACTTGTCTTGATGCGCTTTCATTCCTGAATGGAAGAGTGGCGGATGGATCTGTGGTAATCCTCTGTGCTGCTGATGTGTTCAGGGACATCGTAGCCCCTCAGGAAATGTCCACTGTTTTGCTGAGCAAAGTAATACAGTTGTCTGGCTAGCAGAGGTTCTACCTTCAATAAGAGATTTTGAACACATATATTACCAAAGCGCTCTTTTTAATGGACTCATCATTAGAGAACTCGCATATTCTCAGGGACAGGAGAGTGAAGTCTAGCTGTGTGCTCCAGTTTGTGGAAGCATTTCATGTCTGGAGCCATCTCAAGAGTCAGCTATTTGTTAGTCCCTACGTGGAACAAGCTGTAACCACGATCTGCTCAATTCCGAGTTGACCCTCAGATCAAAGGCCATGGTTTTAAGTCAACTGCCACTTGACCCAACCAAGACTGAAGCAAATCAGGACAAATGATCAAATTGCAAAGAATTCCAAGGTGACATTCAGGGCAGTTTAGGGCAATGATTTTCCACAACTGCGGTTTGATAGGAATGAGGGGCTCAACCTGAATGACTTCAGATTTCCAGGTAATCTGATAATCCTAAATCCAAGTCAAGCAGAAAAGAAAGACACCAGACGCAAAAACAAAATTGCTATTGTGGGAAAAGAGAAGTTAACTGGCCTCAGATTTATCTAATCTGGTTATTAGTGTGGGCCACATTCACCAAAAGACAAAAACAAAATAACCCTCAACTTTCAGTTTGTCCTGAACCTACAGCATCTAAGACACTTTGCTTTCCGTCATACATAAGACTCGGCCTTTATGGAGCCTTGGGATGGAAGAAGCCACGCAACAGCGGCATCTGAATGGCGTGCCTCCAGTCTTGGCTGCTCTATTCAAATCCCGCTTCCTGCTCACATGGCTGGAAAGCAGCTGAAGACCACCTGACTGGGCGCCCCTGCCATCGCTGTGGGAGACCCAGATGGAGTTCCAGACTCCTGGCTTTGGCCTGGCCCAAGCCCTTCCACTGCAGCCATTTGGAGAATGAACTAGCAGATGGAAGTGCCTCTCTCTCTCTCTCTCTCTCTCTCTCTTTCTCTCTCTCTCTCTTCCTCCTTCTCTTTCTGGCATTTGGCCTTTGAAATAAATAAATCCTTAAAAATTGATACTTTATAACATTTGATATATATATATATATATATAAAACAACTGAAGCCTAACTCCTATGTAAATACCTGAAATTAATTAAATTCACAATAGAAATGAGTAGAACTCATGGGCCATACAACAGGGTTTTCAGGAGAGTTTGTGAACCCAACCTTGCCTGACGTTCAAGAGAGCCATTCCTTCCAGAAGCAGGCTTTGGCATCACTTTCCTAGATGCTGTCACCAATGCCAAGTTTACCTGGCCATTTAACAATCCCCACTGCCAATAAAGTCTCAACGACTACAGCAATATTATGTCAATCAGTGGGCAGGATTCACGAGGAAGCTCCAAAGCCTCTGGGATTATATTTTCAGTGGTTGGATTTTACAGTCAAGCGGGGGGGTGGGGGGTGGGGGGGGTGCGTTCAGGATGAGACCGTGTTTTCTTTCACTTTTCAATACCATTGGCACTAAAGGCTCATCAGAACTGTGGTATTCTGTGCTGTGCTTCTGCCTGGCCCTGCTCACCACGTGGGCCCATTACCTCATGAAGACAGGAAGAAAGGTAAAGTTTTCTAATTCAAACACCTTAGGTGTCTGTGAGTCCATTTTCCATGGCACGTTAACACTATGTGTTATCTGTATAAACCTTTCTATGAAAAAAGAGGTTCACTTGCCATCACTGAATCTGTCTTAAACTCGGCCGGAGAATGTTCCGAGGGCCCTGCCTGCCTGAGTTCCTTGAAAGAGGCAGCCTCGGAAGAACGTAAGCCCATTAGTTAATTCATTTCTGAAAACCCAGAATTAAAGATGGGACTGGGATACATTTGGAGGGCACCTACGAAAATATACAGGTGAATTTGGGAAAAGCTTCTCCATCAAGTGAAGATATGGAGCTAGGATGGCATTTTAAATACTTACTTAGTTATTTATTTGAAAGACAGAGTGGCAGAGAAAGAAGTCTTCCAGCTACTGGTTCACTCCCCAGTTGACTGCTATAACCAGCCCTGGGCCGGGCAGGGGCCAGGCTGAAGCTGGGAGCCAGAAACTCCATTTGGGTCTCCCATGTGGTTGGCAGGGGCCCAAGCACTTGAGCCATTTTCCGCTGCCTTCCCAGGCGCATTGGCAGGGAGCTGGATTGGAAGTGCAGCAGCCAGGACTGGAACCAGTGCATCGTCATGGGATTCTGGCACTGCATGGGAGGCCTAACCGCTGTGGCACAATGTCAGCTCCCAGGATAGCATTTGAAAGCACTCACAGACATGGAGAATTTTCAAGGGGCAACATTTAGAATGAGTCCTTTGGAAATCTTATAAAATGGGGACTACAGCAATTGCCCTGGAAAACACATCAGATGGGACAAGGGAGGCCCTGGTGTCAGGGACACTGCTCCCGTCCCGCCCCAGCCCGTGACTGCCAGCCCCGCTCTGTGATGAGCAGAACTCAAGGCTGAGAACGTCAAGTGGGGCCCTGGGCTGTGCTGCTCGCTGGGCCACACTTCCTCCCCAGCTATTTTAAGGGCTACGTTTACCTTCCCAGGTCACTTGACCTTGGGTCTCTGCCCCCAGCAGGGAAACCAGTGTGGTTGTGAGCGAAGCTGAGTACTCACGTGAGCCGTGATGAGCTTCCTCTGCCTCTGAGGGTCTGGAAACTCCTCCCCGAAGCACAAGGTCACCTGGAATCTCGGCAGCGGACGGCCATGGTGAGCGAACGCTTGCAGCTCTGCAAAGCCCACAAGAAAGCCACACTCACAAACCCTCGTCGCCTGCGTGCCAGGTTCAACAGGAAACAAGCGCTTACTGTGACACAGAATTCTGCCCCAGGAACTGGGGCTCTGCGTCTCCCCCAGTGGGCCCTGACCCTGGAGATCCCTGCTCCACCATTGCAAGTTCAAGCTCATGGCCCTAGCTCTGCCTCGCTGATTCTTCCAGAGGGGAAAGACCTACAGCATCAGCGCCCTGCTCTGCAGCGCGCGGCCCAGGAGTCGGGAGGAGTGAAGGAAACGGCAAAGGAAGAAATGGCATCAAGTTAAAGCCGAAGACTCATATGAAGAAGAAAGTCTCATGTAAAGATGTCAGAACATTCTGACATCCCAGCATTATTTTGCTTATTTATTTGAAAAGCAGGAGATAGGAGAGATGGAGAGAGAGAGAGAGAGAGAGAGAGAGAGAGAGAGAAAGCGAGATCTCCCATCTGCTGATTTACTCCCCAAATGCCTGGCAAAGCCAGGGGCCAGGAACTCAATCTGGGTCTCTCACGTGGGTGGCAGGGGCCCGACTACTTGAGCCACCATCTGCTGCCTCCCAGGGTGCTCGGTTGCAGGAAGCTGGCGTCATGAGGCCGAGCCAGGACCGCTGAGATGGGCTGTGGGCATCCCAAGCGTCTGAACTGCTGCCCCAGGTCTCTGCCCCCAGCACTGTTAATACAGCTCATGCCCCACCTAGGGCGTGCACACGGTCCATCCAGGAGGCCCAGGCACCACATGCGTGTGAGCGTGGTGACTGAGTGAGCACTGGCTCTGGAAAGCATGGTCCCACTGGGTGGTGGGAGCAAAACCCCCAACTGTATCACCCTGAACCGACTTCCCGGCTGCCCTGGGGACACAGCTACCACTGGAGGCGAGGACAGAGGTGACAAAGTCACACTGGGGCGCAGTCCTGGGGATCCACACCACACCCCAGAAAGGGCAGAAAACAGGACGTCTCTCGGAAAGACACTCTGCCCTGACACTGACCTGCGTCCCTTCGCCCATGCTCAGCGGGACTCCCACTCCAGGACCAAGAGCTGAGAATCTTAGCCACAAAAGACACACTGTTGCCCTGCGGCGCTGAACCTCCTGCACGGCAGCTGCGCGCACATGCGCTTATCAGATGTGCAGCCCCAGGCTGTGCCTGTGGGGGCTGTCCCTTGTGGGGGTGCAAATTCTGAATGGGTAGATATCAAAGATTTCCACAGCTCTCTTCAACTGAAGAAGTTTCTAGCTAGCTCACAAGACTCACTGACTTCCTGCTGCTTTTCTTCAATTCAAATCAAACCCAACGGACTTAGTCAGAACGCGTAACCCGCACCGTGCTGCCGTGGTCTGAGAGTACACCCACACGGGCTGATCAGAATGGCGAGTTGGCACAATTCTTTGAAAAAAGTCCTGCCTGAAACACTTGACAGCGCGAGAATGTTCGCTGGGGCTCCTTCACCGTGCAGGAGCTGGCGGTCACAGCTGCAGGTTCACAGCGTCCTCCTTGAACATCAGGGAGGGAACAGTGCCAGCAAGCACAGCCCTGGGTTAGCGAGGAAGGACCGCGGGAAAGAACAACGCTTGCTCGTGGATGAATATCAATGTCCAGGTGCCCGTGGTGCCAGCATCCCGTGTGTGCACCCAGTTCCGATTGCTCCACTTCCCATCCGGCTCCCTACTAATGCACCCGGGTGTCTGCCAACCCCGTGGGAGACCCAGATGGAGTTCCAGGTTCCTGGCTTCCACCCAGCCCAGCGCTGGCCGTTGTGGCCGTTTGGGAAGTGAACCAGCAGATGGAAGATCTCTCTCTCTCTGTCTCTCAACTGCACAAATAAATCTTAAAAGGAATAAAGTCTAGGCAAGTGAATTCACAACCCCAGACTGCTACGAGGCATCTGCTTCTTGCCTGTGCACAGCTCTGGGTGTCACCTTACACTCGGTCACAAGCAAGGATTCGTTGTTTGTTCCTAAAACTTGCCTGGTGGTTGAAATTCAGACAGGCAAGTCCCATCCTCCTGGGATGGCTCCTGTAGATGGCTCTGGCCCTCTCCTGGCTTCAGGTCTGAAGACACCAATCCACACTCTGGGGGAAACCCAAGCTTGCGGGGGCCTAGCTTTGCAGGGCATGTGCTCTCTTTCTGGCTCTGGGACAGACACGGGGTGCCCCTCAGAGGCTGTTTGCTCCTCTCTGCCCCTCCCCCCACCACGAGCACTGCACTCTACAAGATGGACAAGCAGGACCGAGCCAGCAGAGGCTGGAACGCAGTCCTGCTGCTTCCAACACGGATGCCCAGCCCTGCGTGCCCTCCTCACGGTGCTGCAGCCCCAGCAACAGGCCCCTCCTCCCATGCCATGCGTCTTGGGGAAGACTTCCCACAGGTGGGTTTGTGTTGGGGACTCAAAGGAGAATCTGGAGGAGCTTATGCAGACTTGGGTCACATAAGCCCCAAAGGCAGAGCACATGTTGACATGCCAAGAGTACAGAGATGCCTCCTATTTTTATTTTAAATGCATCGAATCAAACAAGTACCTTCAGTGGTGTGGTGGTTCAGATGCCACTTGGGACACCCATATGCCATGTCAGTGTGTGTCTGGGTTGAAGTCCCAGCACCACTCTCAATTCCAGAACCCCGGGAGATGGCTCAAGTAATTGGGTCCCTGCAGCCTACATGGGAGCTCGGGACTGAGTTCTTGGCTAGAAGCTTTGGCCTGGCCATTGTGGGCATTTGAGTGGTGAACTATTGGATGACAGCACCATATGCCGGTCTCTGTATCTCAAATAACTAGACTAAACTGAATGAATGAAAAAGAACATTCAGGATCCAGAAATGCATTACGGGGTCTATTCAAAGGAAATTCAAAGAGACTTCTGCATTCTCATGTATATATCAGCACTATTCACAAGAGCCAAGACATGGAATCAATGAAGGTTTCCATCAGTGGATGAATGGATAAAGTGTGGCATAAATACACTTCGGAATACTCTTCAGTCACAAAAAAGAATGGGTGAACCTGGCAGATTTCAGGTTAAGTGGAACGAGCAGGTGCAGACGGACAGACAGTGCCTGATCTAAACCGCTGAACACGCTGAAGCTGAGCAGTGGAAGAGCGGCCACCAGGCCTGGGAGTGGGAGGGGAGACATCGGTCACACAAGATCCCAGCAGGAAAGCAGGAATGCCCTCGGGAGCGCTCCCGTGTGCCCTGAGAGCACAGGTGACCCCTGTGTCCTGGGTTCCTGGGAACTGCTAAGGGGCTTTATGTGTGCCCTGCACAGAACCAGAGGGGCTGACTATGTGGAGGGACGCGGACGTGACCCAGCTCCACTGAGCCGCCCCACGGCGTGTGCGTATTTCACACAACACGCCACACACGGTGAGAAGACACGCACGTCCTGGACGTGGAAGGCACGTGAAAACCCGAAGGACCGGGTGATTCGGAGGGGGCGGGACCTCCGGAAAGGCAGGGGCAGAAGCAGGCAGTCAGGTGGGCAGCGCGGCGCTCTCAGCCCCAGCCTCTGCACATGGAGCCTCGCCAAGGACGCGGTCAGTAGTTTCACCCAAACAGCGCCTGGCGAAGATAACCGCCATGAAATCAAAACGAGGGCAGCTCAGGGCGCTGGGCCTGGAAAATGTGATGAGCAGAGTCCCTGTGACAAGCCTCTCACCGTCCCCCGCGCTAAATCAGTTCAGCACACTCTGGCCCTGGCCCCACCTGTGGGGCGGCGTCGGCTCAGGATGACACATCTCAGAACCAAAAATGTTAACAATAGACTTCTAACCTTTACCATTTTTCTAGGAACCCGAAAAGCAGTGCAACGTCAGCAGATACGCCCGCGGAGCTCACATGGCCAAGGAGACCGAGCCCCGTTAGGAAGGGCCATTGGCTGAACGCCAGAATCTCAAGACGCCAGCCTGTGCCACAGGCCGCCAGGGCGAGCTCAGCCGGACCCGCCTCTCCTGCCAGCCTCGGGGGGAGCAAAGCAGACTTCAGAGGTAGGAAGAGACGGGACGGGACAGAAACCTGTTCCGGTACCACGGCAGTGGACTCTATGGCCGACAGGCGGGACCCTGCCGTCTCTGATCCCCGCGGCAGGAATGCCACCACCTCCTCCGCCCCACCAGCTGAGATGCGGTACCTGAGAGGAACTGCTGTGTGTCAAAGAGCTTGCAGGTCTGGTCTCTGTCCAGTTTGTTGGGCCGGTCGCTGCACAGGGCCAGAGGCCCGTCCCAGTAGATCCTGCTCTGGCACAGTCTTTTGGCGTACAGCCCGTCGGGGGCCATCCAGAGGACCACGCCCCGCTCCAGGTGGCTCAGCAGCTTCTCGATGTTTTTCCTCTGCCCATTGTCCTCCGGGTAAGGGAACAGGACCTGGTCCAGGTTGCTGGCGTCGTAAGTGTGTCCGTGGGAGATCCGGCAGCCCTCGGGGCTGGACGTGGTCAGCTCCTTCACCAAGATTTCCCGGTAGTACAGGCAGATGTGCAGGCGGCAGTCTGCAAACAGAGCCGTGGAGGCAGGGCTGAGCGACCCAGCTGACTCTGCCAGAGCCTCTGGTGGCAGACTAGCGTCCCGGATGCTCCAGGAACAGGGAGAAGAGCCCGGCAGCACCCTCCTCTCACTGCGACTCGCAGACGGCGTGCGTGCATTCCACACCCCAAGAAGCCTACTTAATTGGCCCACCCAGTATCGTCTCAGTCTGGATGGCCTTAGGACTCATTTGGTTTTTGGAGGGAGAGTGGATTTTTTCATTAAGTGTCTGAAAAGCGTGTTCAAGTCTTGTTAGGGGGCACCTTGCTAAAAACTTAACGGAGTTATTTTTTTTTCTTAAATGATGACAGTAGGAGTGGTCTCATTTGTCTAAATACTGAGGCATGTGTCACACACTAGAATTTATCTTTAAGCAAACCAACTCTGATCTTGGACAAGTTTAGCCCCAAATTTAATTTCTATTAGCAAAAAAAATAAATAAATAACAGGGGTCTGAAAAAAAAGGAAGCGTCTCTACACATGTGAAAGTTCCCTAAGTTACGCTGTGATGTCATTGAGGCAACACGTATGTCACCTGTAGGTGACTAAGCAGGCAAGGTGGACACTTGGTGTTCAGAGCCACGAGCTCCAGGCGGTGCAGGGGATGTTTTCAACTTTCCATTTTGGTTTTTCTGATTTTTAAATGAGTTTTCTACATGGGACACGTGCGATTTTTTTTTATCATAAAATGACTCCTTGTGGAAAAAAAGGGATCATTGAGAAAAATGCTCTGAGTAGCAACACTGATTTTAAAGTCTGTGAGACTCCCGCCAAGTTCTGTGCGGCGTCTAAAAACGACCTAACAGGGCGCCTTCTAAAGCTTTCCACCAGGCGAGCTCATTCATGAAAATTTTACTAACCGTGGGAACCGCCTGCCCATCTCACCCAGATACACTGACGGTTCAAACTATGTTTGTGAGGGGCTCCCGGGGGAATGCAGAGGGCAGCCTCTGCAGGAATCCCGCGGGCACGGACTGATGGGACTCAAACATGAATGGGAATCGCCTTTCTCTGTGAAAAGAGCTCACGGCTGATCATCAGTCTCTCTCAGGCACACCAAAAAAAGAAACCCACAAAACCCTCTTATTCCTCAATGGCAGGTTTTGAGACCTAACCCACATCACTGTCGCTTCGATTTCTGCTGCCGTCAACAGAGCACATTAGAAGGCACCCGAGGAGAGTGGGTGTTGGCCACTCAAGGTGACTCCCAGGGCAGGTTTCATTTCATTGAATGTCATCAGCGATCACGAGGTGCTGAGTTATAAATAGCTGTTATTTCCTACACGACAGGCACCCACACAAGTCTTAGATGCTCAAAAAAAAAAAAAGGTTTGAAAGTTTCTAAACGCAGAGCCAAGTGTCCCTGCTCAGGAGGGCCTCTGCCCAGGGAATTCCTCCCGCAGAGCCAGGACCCTGCCGCTAGTCTCAGCTCCCTGAGCCTGCAGAATTGAGTTGTATTTCCTTTAGCCGATTTTTAAAGTGGCCAGGACATGAGGTGAGAATGTCGGAGTTCTTCACTTTTAAGCTAAATCCCAATCCCACTTGAAATAAGCCAAGATAGTATCTTTATGAAATCATGACAGGTAATACCGCATGTGCTTTGTAAACAAGCCTTCGGGGTCTCCCCGAAAGCAGGTATGATTTCTGTGGTGCAGGAATTCTTTTAGAGATGGGACTTTTAGAAAACCTGATTGAATCTGTAATTGGTTTGCAAGTTCTGTTCAAGTTCAGGGGAAAACCAGAGTGTGTGTTCCCTTCTGGGCACCAGAGTCTTCCAGAGACAATGACCCCCAGAAGCAGGTGTGGAAGGTCTGGTCATGGCTGAGCCTGGACAAAGGATGAGCTTTTCAGAGTGAGAAGTGCAGTTGCTTTCCTAAAAAGAGATCGCTTCGCACTGGGAGAACACTGGCAAGACCTCGGTGGAGTGTTGGCAAGCACCTGGGGCTGCACACAGCCGTGCCTCCTTCCGACCAGCACTGGCAGTGTCCGAGTCACAGGGAGCCTGGCTCCTCTGCAGAGGCCGTGCCAGCTGGGGGACGGGGAGCTCCTACACCTCCAGCCCCCACTGCCGCCACGCAGCAGAGGCCTGGCTGAGGCGCCTCCGGGACCGACCGCCGCACTCACCTGAGAGCGCCAGGGCTTCAGCAGACCTTATGCTTGGCTCAATGGGGATCCCGGGAGCCTGGGACTCGGGTGGGGCACAAGCATAAAAGGTTCCTGTCACCTGGCAACCTGCATTTGCAAATAGAAATCAGATGATGTCTACACAGAGTCCACCACGCCGGGAGGCCCCTGGGGCGGGCACGCAGCCTGGAAGGGACCTTTCAACCCACGCCCAGCACTCTCTAAGCACCAGGACCCGTGCCTGTGAGACCAAGACAAGCCAAGTGCAGCTGGGAAAACCAAAGTTGAGGGAGGAAGGGCTGCTGCTCAGCTTTGGAAGGAAACCAGAGCTCATTCTCTCCCTCCCCCTCTACCCCTCCCCCCACCCCCATCTGCACGCTGGGAAACTGAGACTCCGAGAGAGGTGGGTGGATGAGTCCCTGGCCACACGGCAAGCTGACGACAGAGCTAAGCACTCAGGTCAGGTGAGTTTTGGAGCCAGGGAGCCTGGTTAAAAGCCGACATGCTGTTTAGCCCACATGCACCTTGCCTGCTACTTCTGGGTTCAGGAGAGAAGCCCGTCTCCAGACAATACTGAGGGCTGCGTGGAACAGGAATAGAGATGTAGCAGAACCCAACGTGCTGGCACTGCACTTGGCACTCTCTGCGCTGTAAGGTGTCTATTCTGTTCTGCTCCATTCTAAGTGCTACTTCTTAACTAGCTACTAGGTCAGCAATGCCGGCTCCATTGGACACAAGTCCCAACTCCACAAACTGCTTTAGCATCGGCCGACTGTTCGGCTACGGCATGGAAAACCAGTCTTAGCTGCAAATCACTCTAGAAAAGCCAGTAAAACTGAATTACAAGCTTTTTAAATAAACACGCCACTCCATGCAAGCACTGAATCATGATGCATTTCTTCACTACCAGGAGTCAAGAGTGACCTGAATGTAAGTGGGAGAAAGAACGTGAGCGAGCCACAAGGGAGCAAGCTCTCCTGGAACACACGAAAGGCCAGTGTGCACTGGAGCTCGGCACTGCTAGCCAAGGAACCCAAACGTCCTCAGAGCTGTCTCACTGCAGGGAACACAGCTTGTGAACTTTCCTCTGCGTGGAGCTTCCGAGTTCTCCTGCTGACACAGTTCCGTCTGATGGCTGGGGAACTCCTGGGGACCCGGGACCACATCTAACAGGCAATGGGCAAGTTTTGGGAGTATCCACTAGGCAGGCACCGGGGGAGGCCGTCTAAATTTTTTCATGGTGTTTCCATGGCCTTCTTACCACTACCTCTAGCCCCAAGAGTGAGTGCAGTTAGCGAGAGAGACCATCTCCAACACCTCCCAGCATCTCTGCAGAGGAAGGGCTCGGACACTGCTGGAGCATGTACCCATTTTACAGATGGGTAGACAGAAACAGACTAGTGAGATCACGTGGCCCTCAGGCAGCACTGAAGGCAATCCAGGAGGGATGGCTGCCAAAATCCATCACTCTATCAAGATTATAAACACCGTGAAGGTTGTTCAGGGAGGATGCAAAAAGTTTGCGTGTTAACAAGATAATTTCAAAGAAAATGCAGACAGCTGGTTTTTTGTCTGACATTCTGTCTGGAAGGCTGGGCCTAGGGGTCCTGAGCTCTGGAATTGAACCCCAGCATTTCACTGTCAATGGGTCACCTGGACATATTAGTTAGATTCTGTGAACTACCACAATCACCTCTATTTCTGGCTGCCTGGAATGTTCTCTGGGGTGTTTAAATAAGCCTTCTGGTGCCTAGCACTGTGGCATAGTGGGAAAACTGCTGCCTGCATTGTTGGCATCCCATATGGGTGCCAGTTTGAGTTCTAGCTGCTGTACTTCCAATTCAGCTCCCTGTTAATGCACCTGGGAAAGCAGTGGAGGATGGCCCAGATGCTTGGGCCCCTGCACCCACGTGGGAGACCTGGAAGAAGCTCCTGGCTCCTGGCGTCAGATCGGCCCAGCTCCAGCAGTAGTGGCCATTTGAGGAGTGAACCAGCGGATGGAAGACCTCTCTCTCTCTCTCTCTCTCTCTCTCTCTCTCTCTCCATCCCCTGTCCCTCTCTCTGCTTCACTGGCACTATTCCAGCAGCCTCTGAGGAGGGCTGATGTGCTACGGTGCAGCCCAGGACAGGATGGGAGGAGTCCTCACTGCCCTGCGGCCAAGTTCACTCTCCTTACCGTTTTCACAGGTTGGGCCTTGCCAGTGGTGGCTGCGGGGGCCAAACGTCACGGGACATTGATAGGGGATTTCTGGGTGTGGCTGATCGGGGACGTAATCCCTCCAGCTGCGGTCGTGGGGCGGCATCATGTAGTTATGAACCTGCTAAAGGAACACAGGAGGAGCTGCGATGGGAACCTCGGCACTCGGCAGGGTGGGCGGGGTGGGAGAGTGCTCTCCTAGCCTCCCAGCTCCTCAGGGAATCCCTGCTTGGTTGGCAGCCAGATCATTTATCGTCCAAAAAAGCTGGAGTCAGTCGTTCAGCGTACTAGATGGAAGCCAGCCACAGAGGATCAAAAAAAAATTAAATTAAAAAATAAAAAGCACAATGGAGACACTGTTGTTAAGGAGTGATTTCTGCAAAGCCTCATCATATGGTTAAACCTGGCACCAGGAGTGCTGCAGGGGGATTCGCCTCTTACCCTCCAAAGCAGATGGGACAGAGCTGCGATTCACAGCGGGAGGGGTGGGGCGATCAGCTGCCTTGTGGTTTCACATGACAGAACAGCACTTCCAGAGTCCTGGACTTGCACAAAAGGCCTGTTTCCCAGAAGGTCAGTGGGAGAAGTGCATCCTAACAGGCATCTCACCCGGCCCTCCCCGACTCAGCCCACTCCAGCAGGAGCGCCACGTGGACAGGCACGCTGCCTGGACCTAGCACACATCCCGGCTGCTGCTGCTGCTGGCGCGGTTTCCCCGCCCGGTGGGGCCAGCCAGCTTCGTGTGGCTTCACACAGACCCAGCCGTGTGACCTCCGCCGTACCTGGGCTGGGAGCGAGGTGTAGGGAGCCGTCATGGTGTAAGGGTGGCCCATGGTCATCTGTGGGTCCTCCAGCGCGAGCTGCTTGGCCCCTTTGTGGTTGGGAGAAAGGGAAATGGCACAGAGTGAAAAAAGGAACTGACTGAATTCAACGTCAAGTCTTGGAAAAATACCTGGGGCTTGAATTCTTAGAATGCACAGCATGGTGTTGACAAATAAGGCATTTTTCCCCCCAGTAAGTCTCTTGGGCAGTTACTTGAGGCACTGCAGTGGGACAGGGACAGAAACAAATGAAAGCGCTGCGTGCAAATGTGCCTTGTGACTCGATGGCCCTGCAGTGAGATGCCTGCCAGGTGAGGTCATCTGTCTGCTCTGTTTACATGCAGGTTCCTGGAGTCTGGTCCAGACACTCAGGTCCAAGGATCTGCATTCTTAACAAGCACCGCCCCCCCCCACCCCGCTAACCACATCACACTCGACAAGGTGACATTCTGTTATCATAAGTGGTAGTAATATACTGCCAACACTTCCCTTCTACGAGAGCGTTCCTTCCTAGCGACTGTTAGACACGTGTTCAAGCTTTTGTTAATAGACTGGACTAATTGGAAAACACACACTTAATGCACATACACACACACACACATAGACGCTTGGGGTGTGAGAAATCTTCCTACACCTTTGCCACAGCAGCCGCAACTTCTGACCACAGAGCTTGGCCCGAGAGCCTGGGGGGCTCACACAGGACGCGGGAGGCAGGCAGGCTATGGAAAAGGCAAAGGCAGCCAGTGGCTCCCGGAGAGGCGGGTCCTGCGAGCATGAGGCCGATTCTCCGCTGGGACCCCAGTGCAGGGAGGCCCCTACCTTTCTTGGCTCCCTCGGGGACGATCCTGTACACTTTGTAGGGGTCTGAGATGTCCAGCTGGCTCCTCTCCACCAGCTCCTCAAAGTCATTGCTCTTGTTCAGGGCACAGCGCAAGCGCGTCTTCCAGGTGGGAGGGTCCGGCTTATCGATGCCTTCTCGGAACTTGCCTTTAAATAGTGCCCAAGCCTGGCGGGGAAGAAAGAGCAGGAAAAGTCAGAATGCAGGTCTTTTTAAAAAAGAATGCAGGAATTGAAGTTCTGAGAGAGAGAGAGAGAGGGAGGGAGAGGGAGAGAGAGAGAATGGTACCTAGGGCTCAGAGCCTGAGACAGAGACACAACAGGTGTTCTCTAGGAAAACTACTTTTTCACTTTGGAGCCTGTCCTTGCCAAGTTAGCAACGGCTGCTTTGAACATTGCTGGGAGTTCTGGAAGTGGGAGGTATGCGGAGGCTCCTGCACTGGCCCTCCCCACTAGCGTCTGAGGCAGGCTTCGCTGGGGCTGGGACAGAGCTGCTCAGAGTCCAGATGGATGGTCACACAGTTGGGTGCCCTGACAGCAAAGTCCCCTCCCCTGCTCTGCCCACACGTGGGGGCTGGGTCCCAACCAACAGTGCACTGGGTAAACTCCCTTGGGGAAGACAGTCATGGAGGCGGCACTCGTAGAGGGCAAGGAAGGAGAGACCGAGAGAGAGAGAGAAGGAGAGAGAGAGAGAGAGGCGCTCTGGGACAGAATAACCAGAGCAGAGTGGCAGAGTTGAGGGGCTGAGAGATCTAGAATAGAGAGAAGAGAGACCTGCAGCAGTGGGGAGTGGAAATCCAGAGGGAGAAACTCAGGGAGAAAAATAGAAAACAACGTCAGGGACAGGAGAACAGAGACAGATGGAGCACACTCAGGGCTGCACACAGTAGGGCCAGAGACGATGCACCAGGGCTGTACACAGTAGGGTCAGAGATGCACCAGGGCTGCACACAATGAGAGTCAGAAACACACTCAGTGCTGCACACGGTAGGGCCAGAGACGCACCAGGGCTGCACACAGTAGGGTCAGAGATGCACCCAGGGCTGCACACAGTAGGGTTAGAAATGCAGCCAGGGCTGCACATGAGAGTCAGAGACACAGAGCTGCACACAGTAGGGTCAGAGACACACCAGGGCTGCACACTGTAAGATCAAAAAAGCAGCCAGGGCTGCACACAGTGGGGTCAGAGACACACCAGGGCTGCACATGAGAGTCAAAAACACAGGACTGCACACAGTAGGGTCAGAGACACACCAGGGCTGCACATGAGAGTCAGAGACACAGTGCACACAGTGGGGTCAGAGACGCACCCAGGGCTGCACAGGTGAGACATACATTGGCCAAAGGAGGAGAAATAAAGGAGCCTGCAGAGATACAGTTAAGACCTCCCGGGCCGTCCAGCGCCACCCTGACCCACTCCCCAAGACCATCTGTCTTGTGTCCCACTCCCCGGGTGGGCCCGCGTCCCAGGCTCAGGTCTGGACAAGGAGTGGACACTTCAGCTTCTCAGGTGACTGCATCACTGGGGAGCCGAGTCCCACGCACGGCCTCGCCCGTGGCCGCCCGACCCGCGCCTCCCTCCACCCGGCCCGCTCGGCGGAGTCCGGCACGGGGCCGAGTCTGCCTCCCCCGCCCCCGGCCCTGCCCGCGCGCCCACCTTGAAGAGGGCGGCGTCCTCCTCGCGGTTGTAGTCCTGCTTGCCCGCGTGCTTCCAGGGGATGCGGAAGACGCTCTTGTCCTCGTTCTCCCACACCAGCCCCGGGTACTTGCCGCTGTCGATCTGGTCGATCAGCCACTGGCGGAGCTTCCCGTTGCCGCAGCTCACCGCGCTCATGCCGAACTCCGCGCCCCGGCCGCCGCCCTCCAGGTTCATGCCCGGCGTGCCCCGGATCCGCCTCCCGCACTCGCCGCGCGCGCTGCAGGCCAGAGGAGAGCCGGGCGTCAGCCGCCGCCCCAGAGCCCTGGCAGTGAGCACGCGGCCCCCCGAGCTTCCGAGGCTGCGGAGCGCGCGCGCGCAGGGTCAGGGGCCAGAGGACCACTCCCCGAGAAGGCACCTTAGCATCCCGAGCGCGCCCGCCGGGAGGCCCTCCTCCGGCCCCACCTTCTCGCACACTCCACAGAGCTAAGGGCTCCCCGGACGCACACCTTTTTGGGGCTCCCCAACTCCTCTGGCGGCTCGATCGCCGTTCCCGCCTCCCTGCGCTTCCCGGGGTGTCCCCATCCCATTTCCTGCTTCCCCCCGTTTTCACTCTGGCCCAGTCCTCAGCTCACACTCCCTCGGCGGCCCCCACGCGCGGAGGACCCAGCTCCTCCCCGCCTCCAGCTGTCGCGTCCCGCACTCACACTTTAGCCCCCCAACAACCCCTGGCTAATGATGACTAAGCGGCCCTGGAAGCAACAAGTGGCCGACAGCCGGCGCTAGGCAGAGAGCGCGGCCAAGCAGCGGGAGATTCCGGCGGCGTGCAGAGCCGCAGCCGGACCCCGGCGGTCGGGGATGGAGCCCGGGAGGGCACGGGGCAAGGGTTGAGGCGGCAAAGCTCCGGGCTGCTCGTCCCTTAGCCGGTAACCGCCGCACCCGACGTCGCGGGGAGTGTGGGTCCCTTAGGAACCGGGCGCAGGAGTGTCGCCCCGGAGTTGATAGGTCCAGGGGCCGTGCCCCGCGGGCAGACTTGCCGCTGTGCCGGAGTTCTTTAGGCGGCCTGGCGTCCGCCACTCCAGGGCCCCCGCCTGGCCCGGCAGCTCCTGCCTAGCGGCGCGCGGCGCCCCCGGGACGTGGCGAGGATGCTGAGAGCGCCCGCACTGCTCTCCTCCGGGCCGGCCCAGGCGCCCGGGCGCAGGGCAGGTGGGGTGGAAACAGGGGCGCCCCACTGGGGTGCGCTCTCCCTACAGCCGAGCCGGGGTCTCCCCAGCGCGGCGCCAGGACGGACCCTCACCACCACCACCAAGTGGACCTCCTGGCTCTGCCACGCCGGCCTCGCGCCCCCTCCTCCTGCCCGACTCCAGGCCTTACCTCGCCCAGGACTGGGAGTCGAGGGCTGCGGTGGGTGCCAAGTTCAAGTGGAGAAACTAAGACTGCGAGGTGAGAAAGAGGAACTTTATAGAGCTCGAAAGCCGCGCTGGGGCGGAGCCTGGGGTGGGCGGGCTGGGGGCGGCTCCGCCCGCGGGGCGGTGGGGGAGGTCGCGCGCGCGCCGGGGCCGCAGGCGCCCTCCGCGAGCACCCTAGCCCGAGGGAGAGCGCTCCGCAGGCCCCGGGCCCGCGCGGCCTCGGGAACCGTGGCCGGGGGCCGTTTCCCGCGAAGGGGCGAGGCGCGAAGCCGGGCTGTCGCCTCCGAGCCGGGACCGGCCGCGCAGCGCAGCAGGCGCGACCTACAGCTCAACCGACGGCCGCGGTGTGGCCCGGGCGGGAAGTGGGGGTGGGGGGCGTGCCGGAGCGGGAAGCCGAGGCGCAGGGGCTCCGCTCGCCCGGCGCCGTCCCCCACGACCCCGGGAAGGCTCCCACGTGGGAGGTCGGGGGCCAGGGTCGGCGCCTCCGGGGCGCGCGCTAGGAAATGGCCCGGCCGCCTCGGCCGCTCAGCGTGCTGGCTCTGCCCCTGGTGGCGAGTGGGGGCCCCCGGCGTGTCCACCAGCACCCGGTGACGGGGAGGGGGCGAGGGAACCCCGACGTGTTCGGTCACTTCCGGATTCAGGTCACCTCGGAGTGACACGGCCGTGCACCTCCACGCCGGTAGGAAGTGCCCGAAATAAGAGCAGTGATGCTCCAGTGGGCTTGCAGCGGGTGGGCCAAGCTGCCTTTAATCGCCGCGCGCTCCGACCTTTCGCCCTCTGAACTTTCACCTCGGCGGGGGGATGCTCGGAGCCTGTGTTCAGGTAAACCCTCGAGTTCTTAGATCATCGCCGCCCAGCTCAGCTCCAGTCAAAGATTTCACTTGTCTCAGTGTTTCTTTTCATCTGCTAGGTTAGGTCAGTGTCTTCTAGTGGAAGGGGAAAAAAAAACCCACGTAAGTGTAGGCTGGAGCAAACAGCCGCGAGGGTGTGGATCGGTTGTAGGCTTCCTAAAACCAGAGGCCTTTCTCAGAAGTGAACAGGATGCCATGTTTTATTTCACCCGAGCGAAGTTTTCCATGATCAGACCCGTGCGGTGCTGTAAACAACGGGGTTTCATTACAGGAAAAGCGATCTGGTCATAACCTGTTTTTCTTTCTTTCTTCCTCCCCGCTCACTGATTAATTCATTCAACAGATATTTTGGGGCGCCTCCTTCTTGTTGGGAACGGGCCGGGCAGTTGGTACCCATCACTGAACAAGGGCAAGGTCACGGTCTTCCTGTGACCTTCCATAGCTCTGAGCAGGTTCATTCTCCCCAGAGTGGTCAAAGCCACACACCACACAGACTGGTAGAGGCAGCAACGGCCGGCAAGAGCCTTCCGGACAGCGGGACAGCGGACGGGTTCTCCTCACTCATCCATCCCTGCCTTAGAGGCTCACAACAACGGCAGCCCCGGAGCCTTCCTGAGACTTCGCCAGGCGACCGCCTTCTGAGATGTGATTGCTAATCTTCAACGCCATCTTCTGGCTTACTCATTTGCCATATCGATCCACCAGAAGTGATTCTTTTTTTTTTGGTGATGGGGTGAATACAAAGAATTTAATATTTTAATGACTTAAGCTCTTGGTGTCCTCTTTACCCTAGGATGGGGGAGGGGGGCAGGAGTGACCAGGCAGGTGCTGCCAATTAGTCACCATGGACTTTTACTTGGTAGTCATCAGTGAAACAAAAACTGGCAAAAGTTTTTCAAGTGGGAGCCCTCCTCCGCCAACTTCCCCTGGCCTTGAGAAAATCAACTGTGTTACTCGGGGAAAAGAGTAGATATTTATCTTCAAAATGTTACAACTTGTAGAAAAACTTAAAAAACAACAAATAGGACATCAGTAATTGAATGTCTACCCTAACAAAGCCTGCTCGTGACATCATATGATGAGTGAGGTTATTTAATTCCATGGTTAACCAGATGAGGTGCTGTTGTGAATGCAGGCCAAACTGAATGGAGAATTTCAGGTTTCACTTCACAGTTGTCATAACAAGACTGTAAGGAAACTTCAGTTTACCTAGGTTAGATAGTATAAAAATTAATCAAAATTATAATTCACACAAATGAAAACAATTTTTAAGATTTATTTGAATTGTTCGAAAGGCAGAGTCACAGAGAGAGGGGGGGATATAGAGAGAAAGATCTTCCATCTGCTGGTTTCACTCCCCAAATGACACCAGCGTCCAGGGCCCCCCAGGTTGAAGCCAGGAACTGGGAGCTCCATCCGGGTCACTCACGTGCATGATGGGGGCCCAAGTGCTTGAGCCATCTGATGTGGGATGCCGGCATCCTGGGGAGTGGCTTAATCAACTGTGCACCAATGCCAGCCCAAGAACATCTAGGAAAAACCCAAACTGTTGTGGACAGCACTGTTTTATCAATGATTCATTCTTTAAAAGGATAGGGGACTATAAATTAGTTTTAAAAAATGCAATTATAGGGGTTGGCACTGTGGCACAGCAGGTTAATGCCCTGGCCTGAAGCGCTGACATCCCATATGGGCGCCGATTTGAGACCTGGATGCTCCACTTCCGATCCAGCTCTCTGCTACGGCCTGGGAAAGCAGTAGAAGATGACCCAAACTTGGGCCCCTGCACTCATGTGGGAGACCCAGAAGAAGCTCCTGGCTTCTGGCTTCGGATTGACGCAGCTCCGGCCATTACAGCCAATTGGGGAGTGAACCACCGGATGGAAGACCTCTCTCTCTGCCTCTCCTCTCTCTGTGTAACTCTGACTTTCAAACAAATAAATAAATATTTTAAAAAAATAAATAAATAGTGTAATTATAACCTTGAAAAATTGTAAGACAGATTTTTAATTACTTTTAAAAAATTAAGAAAATACTAAAAAGCTATGTTGTTTTGATGCAGTTCCTGTAAGATGACTGGTCTCCTCCATTTGACTGTGTGCGTACAGTACTAACTCTTACCCTTGGCCCCGACATCCTGGATGGCAGGAAGGTTGTCTTACTGGGTTTGAGAGTCAGCCAGACCTGGCTCAAACCTAGGAAGCCTGGGTGGGCTTTTTAACCTTGCCATGTTCAGTGAGGGTGGTGGTGTCCCTGCCCCAGCAGTGTTGGAATAAGGAGGTGACAGTGCCTCTCATATCCCAAGTATTACACAGTTTAGGACAATTAGTTACATCTACTTCAACGTCTGAGGACAGTGACCCTGTGTCATGGATCCACGTGCAGGCAGTGTTCAGCCCCACTGTGCAGATGAGGAGCGAGCCGCCCACTGAGACCAGTGGGACATGCTCTCTGGAGTTCCTCCTTGCATCCAGGTGTTTGGCTCCCTGTTGCATTGATGTTTCAGAATCAGCCTTGCAGTGCTGGCTGTTGTCCCAGTTCTGGCGATTCCTGGTGATGTCAGCAAAGTGAGTGAGACGCCGTCTTTCCTGATCTCATTCTTGCCTGTGAAGTGGGGTTGGCAGTAGGTGTCTGTAGGATCCTCTTTCTGGCCCTAAATAATGGCTCATCACTTTCTGATGTAACTTACAGCCATCAGCGGCTGCCCAGCAGCCTTCTTGGTGATGGTAAATTCAGAGTAAGAAAAGGTGCGTTTTTTTTCCAAGCCACCAACCTAACCACAGTCCTTGACTTCATTCTTCATGAAGCTATAGTCACTCGGAGGAAAATGATTTTACTTCTCTGTCATGCCTTCTGAATATTTAATCCTTTCACCAAAACAAATCTAACCTTACAAGCCACTTCTACAGAAGAGAGGTTGGGATGGAACATTCTGGAAATGCGATTATGTGCTAAGTCCTGTCCCGTTGCATAATCAGTCTAAAAGAATTGAGTTGAACATTCTTTGTGGCGGTAAATCCTTCCGTATTACCAATGTGACATGTAAACCTGGATTTTTTATATAAAATTATATACACTTTCCCAATTTAATTTGAAAAATTTCTGAGTATCTTCAATGAAAGAATTTGCCTAGCTAGAGCACGAAGCATTCCCAGAACACAGGCTGTAGGGGCCAGCTTGTGAACCCTGTAAGGGCACAGTTACTCTGTGAGACTTTTCCCCAAAGCATAGAATATAACCCTCCTTCAGGCTTACACAAAATGGGACTTGTCATTTTTTAATCCTTACATCGATTATGCAATGAGAAGTCACCAAGTCGATGATACTGGGGCAGAGTTGGCTCCCTTCCCTGTGTTTATAAACAGCTGTTCCCTTTTTGTCCCTTCTCCTTGCAGGCATTCTAAGAAGTCCCGTGGTAACACTTCCTTTCTCTCTGACTTGTTGTGCTTGCTACATGAGTAGTGACGTGGCTTCAGCAAGGGACCACTTGATAGTGCCAACTCCCTGCACCAGGCCAACAAAAATGCAAGTGGCTTTGCAATCACTTTGGGCAGCTTTCTGAAAACTGAAACAGCAGGTGAAAGGCAAACGGCTCGTCCAATTACACCCGTGTCTAGCAGTTCATGACCCTGCGTTATTCTAAACCTCATCATTTCTTTAAGTGGACCGTTGTGAGCCAGCATGCTGTTACTTGTCACACACTGTTACTCCTGGGGTTCGGGTTGGTAGATTGCATGTTTCAGGAAAGACTAGCTTTTGCTGTGAGAATGAGCCACCCTGAGATCCGATGGGGTGGTTAATTCTTGCTCACTAGGGCATCCCTTGGTGGGTCATCCTCACTCTAAAAATCCAGGCTGACAAAGCAGCATTGGTGTGGAACAGCCCTAGTCACAGAAAGGATCCAGGAGAAACTGTCTGTCTGTATAGTGGCTGTGGTAGGAGAGGGGACAGCTGGCAGCTTCCTGGGAGAGTTGGGGCAGAGGCCATGAGCTCTCTGCCAGGGGTGGGCGATGGGTAAGAAGAGGGGAAGGAAGAAGACATGAGAAGCTGGGGTGGGAAGGGGAGGATGTACCCAGGTGAGAAGCAAAGATTACAGGAGTCTCCAGGCGGGGGGAGGTATCACCAAGGACCGATGTAAAGAATTAGGAGGAGACGCATGCTTAGGGGAGCTCAGCAGGCGAAGCCTGAGATGAAGTGTCAGCACACAGAGTGGACTACTTGTCCTGTAGGCATTTGGAAG